CCACTGACTTAGATGCAGCTGTGAGACCATTACAATTTCGCTTCCAAAGTATACATAACACACAGTGGGGGAATTACCGCCATAGCAGCCTACAAAGCTGCTAGGGGCCAGAGCAGATGGTGGGCCTGGTCAGGACCATGGCAGGTGAGCTGATCCTTGGGGTCCTTCTGCTGCTTGTCACTCCATTACTCACAGGCAGTGCAGCAGCCATTGGTTGTTCCCTCCACTCACCATCAGCTGAAAATTTTTTTTTTTCTGAATAGGGAGTTCCAAAGGGGTCATACACTGGTTAAATATGAACCCAGTTAGCAGGACTATGCCATAATGTGACCAGGGTATGGCCAGCTTTTCACAACTACCAATGAAGCTGAAGAAAGGAGGATTATAATTACACAGTGTAATTATAACCCTCCTTTCCCCAGCCTTATTGATGGCAATGCTAAAATAAAAAAGAAAGGTTATAAAATAACCCCCTTTTAAAATGCTGGCTCCTCACTGCTCTTATACTTGCAGCATACAGTTTCTAGTAAAACCTCAATGGAAATACCTTTTTTAATCTGTTTGTAAGCAGTCACATGAAGTAATGTCCCAATGCTTTTCAATGGGAAAATTCTTTTTTTTTATTTTTTATTCTGACATCGCTCGTGGAGCAGGAGATTCCCGGGTCGACTCAGCCGAGCCAATGCATATGTGTTCGGCTCGGCTGAGCCGCTCGGCCACGATCGGGAGCTGTACGGGCTAGGGAGGAACTTCAGCTACTGTAGGTGCTTTATAGTCAAGTACACTAGAATCACAGAATGCCTGTCTGGCTTAAAGGTCCTCATGCCTGTGGAGAATGTAAGTTGGATGCTGACAATTGGAGTATGCATGTGTACTGGGCGTATTACGCCCATACCCCTCTTTCCTTTTGAGCCCACCCTGCCTCTAGGATTTCTCACATGTGCTTGGTGGTCAGGGGGATGTTACAAATGTTTGTTAGGTAGAGCTAAGTGTCTATGCACAAGCTGTATCACTTGTCGTATTACCAGCATCACATCCTAGGCAAGTAGGGATAGCAAGTGCCTGGTTTCCAACTGTCTATTTTAATTGGCTGTCACTATTTTGTTTAGAAGGGAACAGGGTCCTTATGTCCCAACAAAGAACCTGTCAGATTTTCCATTCAGATATTACTGTGCAGTGCTTAAGAAGTAAAATCCTCCATACTAAAGATTTACTCCTCAGAGTCAAAGCCAATATATGAGCAGGATCTTTTATAACCATCTCCAGTCCCTGGGCTGCCACAATTAATGCTGACTGTGTCCTGTGGAGTTGCAGGCATATCCGATAGCAGAAAGCAAAGATTAAGCATTTACAACACTTAATCAGACTGTGCAATAACTTGGGGGAGAGACTGAAAATGGAATTATAGCATAAATATTTGCTCTGTGGAAATACTGTAGGTTTACTATGGATCTGTTGTATATCAAGATGAGCAGCGCTATGAGTTCAATTATCTATATCTCAAATAGATGGCAGTAATTAAACCATAAATAATACTTTTTATCACTTTGTCTAAATATGGTGACAAGAAAATAAAACTACATAACAATGTATTTTGTGTCAAAAAATGTGACAAGCCTTTTAGTGTATCGTATCAAGACACCGGTATGAATGTAGAGATGTTATATCCCCACTCAAATAATTGTGATTTTGGAATACAAGCTGCTGTGTTATAGACCACTGGGTCTGAAGATGTTTTAACTAAGTGTACAGCGCTAGTAAAGGAAACAAAATGTCTGTGTATAAATCCAAAGTGTTTTTGAGTTGTGAAAAAATGAAACAACACGTGAATGCAAAGTACCGTCAAATACTATAGAAATAAGACTCTGTACTTGTGAGATACCATATATAGGATATAAATCGTGACTTTTTAAACAAGTATTTAAACAAGTGTTCACATAAATGTTATGTCACACGATGATACCAATGCACAATAAGGTGTAAGTAAGATTTGTAAGAGTGACGGATTTTTTAGATTAATTTATTTTATTGCAACAACAAAGACACACAGGATTGATACTTGTTTAAATAAGTCACGATTTTTATCCTATATATGGTATTTCACAAGTACAGAGTCTTATTTCTATAGTATTTGACGGAACTTTGCATTCACGTGTTGTTTCATTTTTTCACAACTCAAAAACACTTTGGATTTATACACAGACATTTTGTTTCCTTTACTAGCGCTGTACACTTAGTTAAAACATTACTATGGATCTGTGCTTGGTGGGTTAAAATTAGGAACTTGTGGTTAATATTAAGAATGTATTGTACACTGTAACCCTAATTTATGGTTTATATTTAGCTTTCTAGCAATATGACTATTGTTCTCTTTCTGTCTTTGGCACACTCCTGAGACTATTTTGATAGTTGTAAACACACCTAGATTTTTTAGGTTTTTACTAATAAATGTTCCCAATTGTCAGAACTAACCAACTATAATCATAAAACCCTCAGTTTCTGCATGTTCATTAGAAGTCCACCATTTAGTATGCATTGTAAACTGCTTCGCTCCCACCCTGATTAAATGTTAGTTACATTTATGTTAAAGTAATATTAAACTCTGAAACTTTTCTTCAATAATGAATACAAACTAATCAAATATACACTGCCCAGGAAAGTATTGCACATTTTTGCACAATCACTTACAGTCATCCTATTTCGAAACAGCTGGCTCCAACTCTCTCAGCTTGTCTTCCTTGGATTTCCTGTCCAGTACAAGATCACAAGGGACATCACAATCCCCACCAGCTGTCCATCTACTAGCTTGGAGATTGGAGGAGGAAGGTAGGAAAAAGGAGGAGCGGGGGGGGGGGGGTTGTGTGTCCTTGTGGCTGGG